CCTTATTTCTTTCGAAGAAATCTTCACTGATCTCTAATTTGGTTTTTAGGTCCACGCATGGCACCCATAAGTAAGTATTCCATCTCTTTTTCTACTTTGGTTCTCTGTGGTCCCCTTCACTTCACTTCTGTCCAAGTGATTTGAGTTCCCCATTCTTCTCTTATTTCCTTATTACCCTGCTTGCCCTATAGTTTTTTTTTAAATATTAATTAAAAGAGGGACTAAGCTAGCATTCATCAACAGTAAACTGAACAATATTATGAAATAACAGGTAGGCAGAATTTGGGTGGGGGTGGAGAGAGAGACAGAGAAAGGGAGAGAGAGGCAGAGAAAGAGAGAGAGTGGTGAAATTCAAAATGACGAATGGAGAGAGACCATCAGTGTTCTTTCAAACATTATAGTGCAAAGATCCAGTGGTCTTTTCCTAATACTATGCCCAAAGCTGTTCAGGTCCAATAAATGGAGACGGCCTTTAAAGAAACTCTACCTTTGACTTCATCATTACATCATCACTGATTAATCTTACATCTAGTTTTGCATGATACAACTAATCTAAAACCAAATAATCTACAGGGTGGTTTGGAATGCCTCCTTCATTGCCCAACTAAGTCCTCCCCTCACAGACACCAGCAAAATATATTAGGTAATACTATGTGTTTTCTATTTGAGAAAAATTAAATGGATTTCTGTTTGCTTATTTTTCAGTAATTTCACGGAGAACCGCAAGTAAGTACTTTCCTTCTCAGCTGGTCATACGTGGAGACTTTTCTTATCTTAGCTGTTTCTATTTCTAAGTGCCTCATATTTCTCATATTCATTTGCTTCCACATTACCCAAAGTCCTCAAGATTAGAACTGCAAGGCAACCATTTTAATTCATAACTGTAGTATTTCCCATTATTTTAGTTCTAAACTCAACTTCCCAGGTAACACATATCAACAGTGACTCAATATTTAAACCAGATCAAGCACTGACAATGATGATATTTAATACAGAATTTGTAAAACCACCTTTCACGTTATGTCCTAGTTTCCAAAATGCAAATCTGGTTCTCATATCTCAGTTACAAATGATTTAAGCAAACCCAACATTGCTGGAATTTCTCAGGCTGAAATTAAATCACATTAATATTAAAACCCAAAGTTTCTATCAAGGTTAAAAATGCAGATGCCAAAAGAGTCCAGGTAGGTAAGTAAATGAGTGAGGTAAGGTGAGTCTCCTGGGAACTGTGTAAAACTGGGACGACGTGTATAGTCTGAAGAGAGTAGCTGCTGCCCAGTTCCAGCCAACCTCTTCATGCAAGAATTCAGATCTAGAGTTGCCAAAGCATCTCACATAATCCAGATAGTAGGTAAAATTTTCCAAATTTTAAACATGACAGACATCTGGGTTATTCTAACAGATTGCAAACATGCTTATATACTCCTCGCTAGGTCCATCTAAACACACTCTGGATACAGTTTTCAAAATAACAACATTTTACTAATTTCAATAATGTTAGGACAAACACATTAGTATTTGAGGGAGGAGAATCGGAGCTATTAACACAGAATTAGCCAGTGTCTCTCCAAAGTCCTCATCCACACACCTTTCTGAAGCCTGAGCAGAGGGCAATCAGCTAAATATTCTCACTACACAAATGAAAATACAGAGACAGTGGCTCAGACCCTGGGATGAGCCTGCAAAATCCATATGCCCATGTGTGGGCACAGGCCCTATAATTGGGAACAGGGACCAACGCCCACCTGAGGTCAGGAGAAGGGATTATTGATCTCAAAGCTAGAAATTACAAGCCAGAATCCAAATTGAATGCATAGCATTGTTTTCAGAGAAGTCATCAGAGAGTATGGGCAGGAAAAAGATGTAAAAATCCAAGACCCGAAAGATACATACCCAGTAGAGAGGATTTAAAAAAAAAAATGCCTAAGTAACTAGGGATTATGCCACCTGCTTTTTGGATACCTGAGTGTTGGCTGGCCAATCCCATTACTGAGTATATATTTAAAGGAATATAAATCATTCTATCATAAAGACACATGCACGGATATGTTCATTACAGAACTATTCACAATAGCAAATACACGGAATCGACCTAAATGCCCATCAATAGTAGAACGAAGAAAGAAAATATGGTATATATGCACTGTGGAATGCTATGCAGCCAAAAAAAGAATGAGATCACGTCCTCTGCAGGAACAAAGATGGAACTTTAGGCCATTATCCTTAGCAAACTTATGCAGGAACAGAAAACCAGATACTGCATGTTCTCACTTTTAAGTGGGAGCTAAATGATGAGAACACGAGAACACACGGACACACAGAGGGGACAAATAAACACTGGGGACTGTCAGAGGGTGGAGGGCGGGAGGGGGAGAGGATCCGGAAAAATAACTAGGCTTAATATCTGGGTAGCAAAATAATCTGTACAACAGACCCCCATGACACAAGCTTACCTATATTACAAACTTGCACATGTGCCCTGAATTTCAAAGGAAAGTTTAAAAAGTGTTAGCTGGTAATATTTTTAAGTGAAAAATATACAGCCAAGCTTAAGCATAAAAAGGGGGATAAGAATGATTTCCAAGGAGCAGAAATCGAATATAGGAACACATTTTAAGAAAAAGCTAAAGTTAAGCTCTTGGCAGAACGGTGAGGGGATGAAGAAATAGAGGTGGCAGCTTTGCCTCGGGAACAAAGGTAGGGTTTCAACACCTGCTCCCAGATGACAGCCAAAGCCTTGGGATCCAACATGCAGAAAACGGAAATTAGGCCTCTCTGAGTAAAGCCAGTAGCAGAAAATACACTGTCACCTTATGCAGAGGAGCCAAAATATCTTCACCCATCTGCCCCAGGCATAAAAACAGAGTCACCCACACAGGTCCAGAGTTAGATCTCTCCAGGATGCAGAGCCCTTCTGGAGGTGTGCTACCCATGCAGTGTGCATAATATTCCAAGTCAAAACAGCTGGGATCTGGTTCAGTGACAGTATACCCAGGAAGTTAGGACAATAGCCACCAAGAAGGGAGCCACAAGCCAGGGCATTTATATCATAGGACATCCACAAAAGATGGCCCCCAAGGAATAAGAAACTACTAAAAGTTATGAAATCTATGAGGAAATCCAGCACCATGTGAGTGATACCTCACGAGCCCCAGCAAACTGGAGAATTCCAACCCAGAGAAATATAACTAGATAGAGCAATCTGAAGAAGACTAAAACAAAAAACCTAACAGCATTGAACAAGTCAAACACTAAAAGAAAAAAAAAGGGTCTTCAAAGATATTAATGCATTTAACAAATATATGTATTCAACAAATGTATATTGGCCTAGTCTAGGCCAGGAATTATCCTAAGCACTGGAAATACAGCCATGAGCAAGAAAAGCCCTTGCATTTCAGGAGTTTATACGTTGAGATAAAACAGGCAAATAACAGCAAGTATACATATAGTAAATGTCATGCAGATAAATTCATGTAGACAATAGGAAGAGTAACAGACTAAAGAAAGATGGTATAGAAAGGGGAATGTGCTTCAGGCGAAAGGAACAAGTACAGCGTGCACAGGCCTGCTATGGGGATGTAATCAGCCAGTATAAAATCATTACTTATCAAAACACTTAGGATACAGCCAAAACAGCATTTCGAGAGAAATTATTAGGGTAAGTGGTTTCAATAGAAAGTATTCATTAATAATAATAGATGAACCAAACATTGAGCTCACAATAATATTTTTAAAAAAAGGAAAAATCCCAAAAGTAGGACACAATAATAAAACATCCTACAATTATTCGGCAAAAATTAATGAAATTAAAAGTATTTTAAAATAATCAACAAAATTAAAGAAAAGGAAAAGCACTAACAATACAAAGAACAAAATAGAAATGTAGACAGACAGCAAAATTCCTCAAAACCATAAGAAAATCCACTAAAAAAATGGAAATACTGCAAAATGAACACTTTGTTAGCCTAGCCAAATCATCCATTTTGCCTGAGCATTTGATGTTACATATGACAGTCAGAAAAAAACTTTGTATCATGAGATAAACTGAGGATGGCAGCAGGTGAAAAAAGAAGAAAGAAAAACCAGAAGCAAGGGAGGGAGAGGAAAAGAGAAAGAGGTTAGGAGGGAGGGAGGGAGGGAGGGAGGAACAGCTAGGCTTATATGTTCTTAAATTGAATAGTAGTTCCATTTAGCACTGGAACCTAAAATAAAGGCTTAAGTTCACATGCTTTACATTACTGGCTTCCTAATGGAAACAGTTTTAGTGCTGATTTTTACAATATTGATACATACAAATGTAAGTAACCAAATCCAGGTTTGGTTGCTTGCTGCTGAAAAGCCAGACATGAGACACAAGGGTTTGTGGGATGAAAAGCAGATTCAGGCAGGCACAGTGGCTCACGCCTGTAATCCTAGCACTTTGAGAGGCCAAGGTGGGCGGATCACGAGCTCAGGTGTTTGAGACCAGCCTGACCAATATGGTGAAACTCCATCTCTATTAAAAATACAAAAATTAGGTGGGTGTGGTGGCATACGCCTGGAATCTCAGCTACTCAAGAGGCTGAGACAGGAGAATCGCTTGAACCCAGGAGGCTTGCAATGAGCCAAGGTCACATCATTGCATTCCAGCCTGAACAACAGAGCAAGACTCAATCTCAAAAAAAAAAAAAAAAAAAAAAAAAAAACAGAAAGAAAGAAAAGAAAAGCAGATTAAATTGGAGAGCCAGCAAACTGAGAAGATGGAGAACTAGCATGCTAAAGTACCATCCGTCTGAAGTCTTTCAGGCTGGCTGGAGGGTTTTTGTGGGAAGCCGATATGGGGAACTATGCTCAGGAGTTAGAATCAAGAGGTGACTGAGGAATACTGAGATCTGGGTGCCAGCGAGAGTCCTTGGTCAGGTCACAATGCTCCCGTAAATCTCTAACAAAACACAATTAGTTGTTTACAGACTTTCCCCTTAGTCGCAAAGTTAGTTTCAAAAACTACGTGATTGCTGTTTTTACATTTTATCTGTGTTCTAAAATTGTCCTAGTCTACGTGGAGGACTGGGTAAAGGTCCCTTAAACAAAAAAAGAGTTTATGTTAGTCATTTTGCTGTTTCACTGTCATACAAATGTGTAGTGATCCTTGCCAGTGTATAATTATGATGGAGAATTATTTTTCCACCAAGGAGAATAATCGGCAAACTAACTGTATAGATTACACCCCTTAAACTCCTGCTATGTCTCTTATTAAATGAGCCAGTTCTTCTGAAGACAGGACTTGCTTGTAAGCACTGCAACCTAAAAAAAGAAAAGGAAAATGTTTCTCAGTTCCAATTTGCCTCCAGTTTTTATTGACAATACAGATCTTTAAAAAAAAAAAAAAAAAAAAAAAAAAAAAACCTGGCTGGGCGCAGTGGCTCACACCTGTAATCCCAGCACTTTGGGAGGCCAAGGTGGGCAGATCACCTTAGGTCAGGAGTTCGAGACCAGCCTGGCCAACATGGTAAAACCCGTCTCTACTAAAAATACAAAAATCAGCTGGGTGTGGTGGTGGGCACCTGTAATCCCAGCTACTTGGGAGGCTGAAGTGGGAGAATCACTTGAACCTGGGAGATGGAGGTTGCAGTGAGCCAAGATCACGTTACTGCACTCCAGCCTGGGAGACAGAGCAAGACTCCATCTCAAACAAAAAATAATAATAAAACCTGAACAAATGGAGAGATAAGCCATATTCAAAGATAGGAAAATTCAGTAATACAAAAATGTCAGTTCCCCCTTAAGTAATTTTTAAATTTAATAAAATTTGAATTAAAATTCCCAGAAGGATTTTTTGTGGATCTTGACAAGTCAATTCTACAATTCATATGGAAGTGAAAAGATCCAAGAAAAAATAACACATTTCTAAACGTAAAGTTCTCAGAAAAGGAGACTCACCCTTGGCATTATATTTGACTGTAAAGGCATTTGATTAGGTATAATGACTGAACATATGTAGTGTTGGCACAGGACTAAATAAATCAGTATGATAGAGTTAAGAGCCTAGAGACAACCCCTACTAAAGACAATGTTGAACTCATAACAGATGGAGAATCCAACAAATTGTCTTGAAACAATTAAGTATCTTTCTGTTAAAAAAATAATAATAATAATAATAAGGCCAGGTGTGGTGGCTCACACCTGTAATTCCAGCACTTTGGGGGGGCCAAGGTGGGCAGATCACAAGGTCAAGAGATGAAGACCTTCTTGGCCAACGTGGTGAAACCCTGTCTCTACTAAAAATACAAAAATTAGCCGGGCATGGTGGCACACACCAGTAGTCCCAGCTACTTGGGAGGCTGAGGTAGGAGAATAGCTTGAACCTGGGGGGTGGAGGCTGTGGTGAGCCGAGATTGTGCCACTGCACTCCAGTCTCGTGACAGAGCAAGACTCCATCTCAAAAAAAAAAAAAAAATGAAGTTCCAGGCATATTAAATATCTAAACATAAACTCCATCACTACTTGAAAATAAATGTAGGAGAATAGATGTATACTCTCAGATAGGGAAGCTTTCAATTAAAAGACTCAGAAAACACCAAATATAAATATTCACAAAAAAATGCAAAACTTCTTATTGACAAAATATACTATATACAAGTTTAAAAGACAAGAGGCAGTCTGAGAGAAAATATTTGCAACATGTATAAAATCAATGTTATCAGTATTGAAAACATAAAATTCCACAATCAGTAAGAAAAAGAAAAGAAATTAAATGAGTTAATAAGAATACACATTTCACAAAATAGGAATACTGGATGCCTAATGAACATAAGACAAGTTATTAGATCTCATTAATAATCAAAAACTACAATGTAAAAAATGAGACACTACTTTTCTCAAAATGTAGTGGCAAAAATGTTAAAGCCGGACAAGATCAAGTATTTATTAGGCTGTTTGCTGAAGCAGAAACTCTCATTCTCTGAACAAATTTGTTAGTATTAAAGTAAATATGTACAATAGCCCATAAATTCTACTTTTGGGTAACAACCCTAGAGAAAAGTCTTACATATTTATACAGGAAGACACAAATAAGAATGTTGTGACACTATTTTTAATAATAAAAAATCAAAAACAGTTCAAAATGAATTAACATATAGTATATGTGTTAATGTAACTGTTGTATATGTTTTTATGTACATATGACCAAGGAAAAGACCTCTAACCATACTGTTGAATGAAACAAGCCAGATGCAAAATGATGTTTACAGAGACAAAATTACATTAAAAGATGACACATGCAAATTAAAGCAAAAAAAATTAAACTTACCGCATTGCTTAAGGGTCCACATATATATGACATTACTTTTCGAGATTATTAAATACACATTGAGCTCATAATAGTGGTTGCTTCCAAAGAGCAGAGGAATAGAATTGAACCTGAGATTGGTGGTTCCAAGGGATTTTAGCTATCCCTGTAATATTTTCTTTATTAAAAGAAATATTGAGAACAAATGTGACAAATGTTACATTAAAGATGGTGTGACTATTGACACCTAGATATTATTTTTTAGTATTTTTTAATATATCAAAGAAAATAGAAAGCAAATAAAACAAGTATACTGTGAAGCCCTAAGAAGGCAGGCCTTCTTGGAAAATTTAGCCGTGGATCACCAATGTGTCCACCTGCAAGACATCCAGCCATTCTTGCAGTGTGTCCTGTCCCTTCAAGTATTTCTGGGAATCTCTAAAGAAATGACTATACATCCTCACCCACTAGTCCATCACAACAGACCTTTCCTGGTTTCCTTTATTTCATCCACTGTCCATGAGGCTCTTTGAAGGAGCCCTATTTACTTGATGACTAATGCCCTTTCTTGTCACAGGTGCTGCCTTCAGATCTTGAAAAAGCCACTTATCCTCAAAGTGCCTTGCGGTGCTGGGTGCCACCAGTAGCGGGAATATTCCTTACCCCACACTTGTCATCTGAGCCCCCAAATAGTACAGCTTCATAACATATCTAATAAAACTGCTGCTTCATCATCAATGAACAAGAACACACATGCACACATACACTTACAGAGTCAAGAAACAGTTTTCAACATTAGTGCAACCCAAGTTTATACTTAGAAAAACAATGGTTTTCATTCTTACAGAGAGCAGTTTGATTAATTGGAGTCATAGTGTGTCAAATATTTCCTTTTCAAATCTTGCTTTTTCACATAATCTCTGCTTTACTTTTTCATATGTCCTTTCCAGTGGTTTCCTAGAACAAAAGAACAAGCTGCTCCAAAAGTATTATCTCACCTTTTGCTAAATCAAAAACTTTTTATAGCTTTCATATTATTATGCCTAGCTTCACTGAGCTTTCAAAACTTTATAGTTAAAATTCCACCAGGGTTTAAGCACAAAATGTCATATAGGCATCCCTCAGCAATCTCTTTTGCTCACTCAATTTTTTTTTTTTTTTTTTGAGACAGAGTCTTGCCCTGTTGCCCAGGTTGGAGTGCAGTGGTGCAACATCAGCTCACTGCAACCTCCACCTCCCGAGTTGAAGTAATTCTCCTACCTCAGCCTCCCAAGTAGCTAGGATTACAGGCCCAGGCGCCTGCCACCACACCTGGCTAATTTTTTGTATCTTTAATAGAGACGGGGTTTCGCCATGTTGGCCAGGCAGGTCTCAAAAACTCGTGACCTCGTGATCCACCCACCTCGGCCTTCCAAAGTGCTGGAATTACAGGCATGAGCCACTGTGCCCGGCGTTCACCCAAATCTTGTTACATCATTGTTCACTCTCCCACTGCATGTCTTCCTATGTGGCCTGATACCTGTTTCACTTGGAAGACACAAAATTTTTCTGCCTATAAGTGTATGAGAACAGAGAAAAAGGAGGAGTATCCTGATGTTGGCCACAGTAGGGAGAATTTCTTCATTGACTCAACAAACATTTATTAAGTGCCTGCTTATTTCTTAAGAGACCATGTAAGTACAGGGATTAATGAAGAGAATATAGCATTTGCTGGTAGAGAGGAAAGTAACAACCTGGTCAAATCAAATGGGTAACAATGATGAGAACTGCTGAGATCAAGAATGTAGTTAGAGATCTCTCCTTCCAGCCAGAGCTTGAAATTTGGTCTCTACTGCTCCATGTCCTATGCCCCAGGAGGCCTAAATGACTCTGCCATAGCCTCTGTCACCCTGTGACCTGCAGGTAATGAGAGATCTGTAGCTAATATGCTAGGACACCCGGAAGCAGGGAAATGAGTTAGAGAATCAATTCGAAAATATTACCATGGTTTTCATAGGAGCCAAGATGGCCAACTAGATGCAGACAGGAAGAGCTTCTCGCACCAAAGACCAGACCATGAAGAGAATCAGCACACTCTGAACAAATGTTCAGAAAAAAGACATTGGGAACAGACACAGAGAGGACACAGACCCTGCTCTGAAAGAGAAAAAAGCTGGGAACCCTGCACAGGTTTGGGTGCATGAAGGCTTGTTTGTGGCCCCAAGGGACTCCTGAGGAAGTGGTGAGTGAAATAGGGATGGAGTGGCCAGCTCTCACAATGGACCTCTATAACCCTAGCTGCAGGAGGACGCACGATCCCAGGCTCCCCATACTCCTCCAGGTGGCTTTAGACATCGTTGAGTACTGGATCTGAACAGAGCAGGTTTATCTTGCCCATGGGGGTAAGTCTGATCTGAGCACCCCTGTCTGCTGGCCTATCCCACGGTCACTGCCTGGCTGCATCTGCTTGCCATGTGGCATCAGCTGCTCAGCTGAGAAGCTTGCTAGCAGCCACCACCATAGTTCTTTAACTGGCAGATATCACCTAACAATTGGAGAGCTCCTGCAAATGGGCCCCTGCTGGTGTGCACCTACCCAGAGCCTCCCAGCACTGATTCACCGTGCACATTTGCCCAAAGCATCCCCTGCTGCTTTGCCAGGGGACACACATATGCACAGTGACCCCACCACCACCACCCAGCTCCCAGAGCACACGTGACAAATGTTACATTATAGATAGTATGGACTATTGATGCCTAAGATATTATTTTTTAGTATCTTCTAAATATATCAAAGAAAAAAGAAAGCAAATAAAACAAGTATACTGTGAAGCCCTAAGAAGGCAGGCCTTCTTGGCAAATTTAGCCGTAGATCACCAATGTGTCCACCTGCAAAAGATCCAGCCCTTCTTGCAGTGTGTCCTGTCCCTTCAAGTATGGTGGTGGCTGCCAGCACACACGTGTAGGGGAATCCCCACGACCCACCAAAGCATTTTTGCCAGCACCCTCAAGACTGTTGCTGCCAGTGAACCAGAAACACCTTGACTCCTCCAGCACAGCAGGTGCTTAACCTGGAGGGGAAAAAGGAAAAAGCTGAGGGCCTAGTCCCAGCCCCCAAGGGTTGGAGCATGCAGCCCAGGAATGTTAACCTGCACCTTGGTGCCCTGAAATTATCTAGAAATGAAGCCAATCCACTAAAACCAACTTATACCACAGTCAAACCCTCAAGGGCATCAAAGACTATAAAAGTAAAAAAGACAGTAACTTCAAACATTAAAGGAACATCAACCCACAGAGATGAGAAAGAACCAGTGCAAGAACTCCAACAAATCTAAAAGCCAGAGTGTCTTCTTACCTCCAGAGAATTGCACTAGCTCCCCAGCAATGGTTCTTGACCAAACTGAAATGGCTAAAATAATAGACATAGAATTGAGAATCTGGATGGCCATGAAGATCATTGAGATTCAGGAGAAAATTGAAACCCAATCCAAGGAATCTAAGGAATACATTAAAGCAATACAGGAGCTGAAAGATGAAATAGCCATTTCAAGAAATAATCAAACTGACCTTCTAGAGCTGAAACATCCACTACAAGAATTTCATAATACAACCAAATGTATTAACAGCAGAATAGACAAAGCGGAGGAAACAATCTCAGAGCTCAAAGACCAGTTCTTCATATCAACTCGGACAAAAATAAAGAAAAAAAGAATTTTATAAAATGAACAAAATCCCTAAGAAATACGGCATTATGTAAACAGACCAAATTTATGACTCACTGGAATCCCAGAAAGAGATGGAGAGAGAGCAAGCAACATGGAAAACATATTTAAGGATATTAGCCACAAAAATTTCCCCAACCTCATTAGAGAGGTCAGCATGCAAATTCAGAAATTTGGAGAATCTTAGCAAAATGCTATAAAAGATGACCATCCCCAAGACACATAGTCATCAGATTCTCTAAGGTCAGTGTGAAAGACAAAATCTTAAAAGTAGCTAGAGAGAAGGGACAAGTCATACACAAAAGGAATCCTGTCAAGCTGACCATGAACGACTTGGCAGAAACCTCACAAGCCAGAAGAGATTGAGGGCCCATATTAAGCATCCTTAAAAAAAAGAAAGAAAAGAAAAGAAAAGAAAGAAAAAAAGAAAGAGAGAAAAAGAGAAGGAAAGAAGGAAAGAAAGGAAGGAAGGAAGGAAGGAAGGAAGGAAGGAAGGAAGGAAAGGAAGGAAGGAAGGAAGGAAGGAAGGAAGGAAAAGAAAGAAAGACATTCCAACCAAGTTAGCCAAGCATGGTGGCACACACCTTTAATGCCAGCTACTCTCAAGGCTGAGACAGAAGAGTGGCTTGAAGGTTGCAGTGAGCCGAGATTGTGCACACTGCACTCCAGCCTGGGTGACAGAGCAAGACTGTCTCAAAATTTAAAAAAAAAAAAGGAACCTAATAGAGGTTATATACTCTTGTCTGAGGAGGGAGGCAAAAAAAGTAAAGACTATCCTCACTTCTGAATGTGCTACAACTGCCCATGTTTATTGATCTCTGCCTACAATCGACCGATTTCTTCCCCTTTGGTTACTGACTAGTATCTGAAAAACTTTCCGTACTGCAAAAAGGAAAGACATATAGGGTGAGATATAACAAATATGGAGATAATAAAGGAAAAATCCAGGAAAAGCACACATAGGCATTATTGGGAAGAGGCAGAATAACTGCAGTTAGCGTTCAAATTTGTAACTATTTAAGAGTTTACTGCAGTATTTAAACCCTCCTACTAGAAAGAAAAATAATTACCTAAATATTGATATGTTAGTCCCCTTCTGTCTTTCTACCAAATTAAAATACTAAAACCAGTTGTCACAGAAATACCAAAACTTAGTCCCTTCAGACTAAGACTATTCTTTTACTACGAAAGAAATGTTAATCTCTCTTATTCCATTGATACCTTTCAAGGGAGGTTTGCTGTCTTCCAAGATCTCTTTTGTTAATCTCTTAAAATGAGCAAGGAAAGAAATTATATTCTTGATCCAAAAACTCTGCCAATTTTTGTTTCATGTTGTTCTGCTAGTTACTCCAGTACCTACTGGTAAATTATTATTCATTTTATTATTTATTAAGTCCATTGTCCTTATAGAAAAGTTTCTTTGAAGTAAAGAATTTTGCATGCATACTTCCCAAACCCCTTTGCCCCTCTATATAGTATCACTTTAAGTTGCTGATGAATTTTGAAACTACATTATGCCCAATGATTGACAAAAATAAATAAGTAAGTAATAGAAAATTAAAGCCCTGAGGTAGTATCCTTTTCACTTAATGAAGAGGAAAATTTAAGTATGATTAGTGCCAGAAATGTTTCAATAAAAATTATATATTGACACATTACCAATCCCACTTAAATTAATAAACCCTTTTAGAAACCAAATTTGCAGTATCATGTTAGATTCATAAAGATATAATATCCTTTAAACTCACAATTCTATTTCTAGACATATGCCCTAAGGAATAATTCCAAAATAAAACTATTTTCATGATGGTAATTGGTAAAAAGATGTGAAGGTAATAAATATAGTACAGTGGTTAAGAAAGGAGCCAAATAGGCCAGAAATGAAGCCAAATACCAGCTAAAACCCCACATATGTGCTTTGGATAAATTATTTAATCTCTCTAAGAATTTAATTTGTATTATCTCTATTTAGTATTATTTCTAATTGCCTCCTTGCAAATCTGATGTTCCATTCTTCTTGCTCTACATTATTAGAACAATTGATTAACTTATCTGTAAATTGTTATAAAGCATAAATCCTTCCTGGTAGAGAAAAAAAATAATGAGGGAGAGACAAGTGCTGGTAACAGTTTAAACATTTTAGCAACAACAAATCAAGCCACAAAGAGAAATATGAAAACGAAGAAAAAGAAAGAGTGAAGAAATTGGGTCTCTCAGCCAAAAGAGAGAATACAGCAAAATTATAAAATCTAAGTTT